AACCACTGTCCATGATGACGTGATCGAGCAAACCAAACGGATCTCTTTCGATTCTGCGGCTTTGAATAAACTGCATACCTCGATCTGCTTCAGTAGCAAGATCAGGCAAGTCTTCATTTTTACTAGCATAGTGCCAGTCGGATTGAAGTTTGACGTTAGTCGTTCCAGCAGGACATGGAATAAGATAGACATCATTGCCATTCTCATCCTTTCCCTTGATAGCATCATGAAATACATTTGATGTATCAAAATAGCCAGTCTTCACAACTTGCGGAGTTTGAGCTTGAGTTGCATCGAATCCTTGGCGCACTTGAGCACCACAGAAGCCTTGTTGGCTGATAATAATAACTGAAACATTAATCGATTAAATGCTAGATAGCGCATACGATTGCCGGTGGAATGGTCAGCTGTAAAGGTCAAGTACTGTGGAGCGGCGAGTCAACAACAAGTTTGAACCATGTGAGGCGTCTGATAATCAGAAGTTGCTCTAGTCAGAACCAGATGGTTCGGACTCTACCCCCAACGTGGCGGGGTGATTTCGGGGCGTTGCTTCCACGAAACGTTGTTCAAGGGGAGTGGTCCGCAGGGTGGAAGAAGCGATGAAGAATACGGCGTTGAGGCGCCAAAGCGCGGCGGTAGGCCGTGCGTTCCATCCTCACCAGCTTCAACCACTCCTCACGATCTACCAGTGGTTTGTGCAAGACTGTCCGGCGCTTGACCGAAAGCATGCGTTGGACAACCTTAGGTAGGTCAGTTGGACCCATATCAAACTGGTTGTGTATCCCGTCGTTGACCTGTTGGCTGCGCTCTTGTAACTGTACATTGTCCTCCGAGTGTTGTACCAAGTTCCGATGTTCCCACAACTGGAAGCCCAGCAAAATCAACTGATGCGAGAGGCGTGAGGCCCATAAGGTCGGAGAGCGTTGGCTCCTGCGCGACTGCAGATATTCCTCCTGCAACGGGGCCCATTGGCGGGACAATCTTCCTTCCAATAGCCCTTGGTAGCCAATGCATTGCTGGGATCGGAAAGCGCTGCGCAGTCGACCTGGTACCACTCGGATGGACGGTAGGGATGGATCGCCGGATCTGTCACTTGGGTGTCCAGCCATGAATCCAGGGCCACTGTCCGGCGATCCCATTCAGCGCTGGTGGATGGAGCCATACATCGCGGTACGTGTAGGTGATCTTCGAACTTGCCACAGCATGGGCATGCAACAGATGTGTCATATCCCCATTGTACCTTAAACTTGCCAACACCGCACATACCCACCACGTGCTTTGTGGTCCAGCGTTGGACGCCCGCAGGGAGAGATCGCATGGCCCGAGCCAGACTGGTCCAGTCGGTTTCCGACTCCGCCTCTGGGGTGACCGTGAGTTTCTCGCGCCACCTCTTGCGTAGGGCGGGGAAGCGCCACCAGCTCTTGGATGTAGTCTGGGTCCAATCGAGACTGCTTAACGTCTCCGATATAGAGAGCGGCCAACTCAGTAAAGAAGCGAGCATTGGGTGCAATCAGTTGGTTAGAAGCCTCCAACTGATGGCGGTATGCCACTGCCCAATTATCCACTTCAACATTCCTTTTGGACCACCAAGACAGGGACGAAAAGGACGTAGCATGGTCAAGGTGACCATACACATGACTAGGCTCCCACGATGCTTTGGAGCGCGCAAGGGCCTCGCGGAGGGAAGAGACCAGGTCAAACTGCGCCTGTTGGGGAGTGACTCGATTATTGCTAAAGGTATTGAGAAGGGCGGAAAACCCATCGCACGCGATCCTTACGCGGGGTTTAGATTGGAGTGTTGGCGCCCACTGGTGGAGCAACCAGTCAACAACCATGATGCCTGCGAGCAGGCCGATCAGTTCACTCCGATAGGCGCTTTGGTCCTGGGGCAATCTGGGAGTCTGGCACCGAACAATGATGCGGTCCTTCTCCCCTTTTCTTGGGAGTAGTTGTACAGCCACCGTTCCCAGGTCTCGCTTGTATGATCCGTCGCTTATCACGCAGAGGTGGCCAGACAGTAAGGCCTCCACCAGCCGTCCTTCATCACCGACAATCTCAAGTTCCTTGGGGGTCCATCCAAAGTACTCGTCAACTTCTGCTGATGCTGTTTCCCATGCAGTGAATAAGGACGGTTGGGGAACTGGTCGCGGAGACTGATGCTCCAGGCCCACCCCCGAGATCACAATCTCCTCTAACCCATGCAGTGGCTGAGTTGTCACTCGGCATACATCATCTGGTAGTGGCTTGGTCCAAAAAGGAACCGACGGCGAGAGGGCTTCGGCGACGTCAAGGGCTGCCATTGGTCTTTTAATCCCAGCCGTCCTGTGAGATGCTGGCCTCATGTGGAACCGCCGGCTAGAGGAGTAGGAACCTAATCGGTGACCGTAGTGTCTCCAAGCGTGTCCATAACGATGAAAGACGCCATGCGTTGGGGAAACCAGCCAATTCAGTCGTCAATAGAGTCAAACCAAGTGCCCAACGGTTGGCGGAGATGGTGAGAGGGGTCATCCGACTGCAGGAGTGCCCGGGTCAAGGTGTCCTGCCATAGACGCCAGTGATTCCGGTTTGGCCGAACTGTCCGGGGCCATTGATATGGGGACCGGTGAATTCCATCACGCTCTCCGCACCAAGCCGACTGGCGGATGCATCGTCCATCAGCCGTGACAATGTCGGAAACGGTGCACGCTTGAAGGAACATACGACATGAATTGAGCCATTTCAGATCGTCTTGGTTCACCTCCAAATCCATAAACACTTCCACAAGCAGAGCATCACCGACGCATCGTAGTGGTAAGGCCGGAGAATCAAAGGCCACATAGATGTCCATGTTCTCCAGTTCTTTCCAGACTCGCTTTATCCATGTATCGGAAGCCAAGACGGCAGTGTTGCAATAATCCTGCTGAAAGATACCAAACGAAGTGCCCGTTTCGAGCTGGTGTTCTTGCAAAGCGGCTTCCAGGTAGGCTCCGGTTTTTGTCTTGTTGGTCGAATGACGGAGGAGAGTTTCGATATGCTTGGAAACCTGTGAGCCAAACGGATGTGGGATGCCCAGGCCTTGGAACTTCAATGGAGCAAACACCATATCACACGGAAAACTTCTGCAGATGCCGGCTTTCGGCAGGCAGACCTGTAGAACCGGGCTCATAATATCCACCCATGTTGCGGCCTCCAGTGTCAATAGCGTCATTGGATATTCTAGTGACTTCATAACAGTGGACTTGATCAAGGGGATCACATCGTATTTGTGAAGGTGACCAGACGCAACTTGTTCAGCCCACCTTTTGGCAATACCCTTCAGATGTGTAACATGGGCCTTCTGGTCCTCGAGTGGCGCGAGCATTACTCCCAATGTCTTCTCTGCCTCCCCCGGCTCAAGGCGACGAAGAGATTCGAACTTGCCAGACAAGCCCGGAATCTGAAGCCGGTGGTCCGGCAACAACTGATTCTTCCTCTTGAATGTCCATTGTTCCGTAATGGCCAACCGCATCATGGCAATCACTGCCACCCAGTGAAGTACCCGATCAAAGCATGACTTGGCATCATTCAAAATCCACCCTGCCGATCAACGCTGGAGAATCAGTAGGTCCCACACCAGCCGCTTCGACAGGGCGAGATCAATCGCTTGATGGTGCTTTCGGGACCCGCATTGACCATCAGCAATCAGGTGATGGTCTTTGCCATAAGTCATGGCCAAACGACCGAGTTGCTTATAATTGGCCTGGGATTCAGAGTTCATCAACTGAATTGTTCGCATTTTCTTCAGGCAAAACTCCCCGGGCTTCTTTTCAATGGCAAAATTCATTAAATGTCGCCAGTTGTCAGGAACGAACCCAGTAGTTAGAGGGATATGCCGAAACAAGGCGTCACACTGGGCGATCATAGGGGAGAGAATCCCAGCTTTAAAGTGGCCATTATGCAGGCCATGAGGTTCAGAGCCCTTGTGTTCCGGATTCCGAGACCAGAAGTAGGTGTGATCTTCAGTAGAAACCTCCAGAAGGGACGTAGAATGATCTTTGTGGAACCTGCACTGAGAAAGGAAAGACCGAGTTGGATAGTCAATGCCATCTGGTAGGGGAAGACGCCCTTCGAGAAGGGCGAGGGAGTTTTGTTCCGCGTCATGGCCATTAAACATTTGGTACAGTGGAGCATCCATTGGAGGGGTCATATGAGGCGATCTGGTCTGATCATACCGTGCGCAATTCTCCTGCATGCACCCCTGTTCCACTTGGCTCCTTTCAGAGACAGTCCGCAAGCCCACTTCACCTGAAGGCAGCCTCTCTTCGACTTGAATCGCGTGTAATCCCCCAGTAGATCCTTTTGCCTGGGCGCGGCGTCGGCGTCTCGCCTCCTCCCGTTGCTTCATCCGCTGTAACCTCAGGAAACGGTCTCTGGCCTTTCGCGACCGCCATTGTTTCTTTTTGGACTTCGCCGCCTGCACAGTCAAAAATTCCTTGCGCCACTTCACAGCATAATGGGTCTTAGCCTCAAGGTATTCCTTCCGGTCCTGACGGAGGGCGATCTCCAATTCCGTTGTCGTCTTCGTCCACGCGTCCGGTATCTCAACCTTCTTCATCAATCTGCGGATTTTACGCAAACTCACCCGGCAACCCTTCCTCCCCTTCAAAAGAATCTTCCACAAGGATTGACGGTCCCAAAACTGTTGCATCTTAGGAGACCAGGGCACCGATACATTAGTGACCCGTCTACATTTTTCCTCCGCCTTTCGCCTTACGACGTACATCTGGTGGTGCAGGCAGTTATAATGACGACCCATTTTTGCTGTCATGGTCCCTTCATTTAGTTGTAGTTGGTGGTGTAGGGACGCCAATCGAGATGAGATGGAGTATTCCTCGTAGCCCTTGTGAACGAGCTGCAGGTAGCGGCGGACTGCTGTAGTATCCAACATAGTAAGTTTGCGGGGTTTGTACGGGGTCTTCTGTGGTTTGTACCCACCCAAAGATTTCTCCAGGTCGATATCAATCCAAAGACCACGATGGTCGCAGGAGAAAAACTCATCAAAGTTGTAGTAACCTCCTGCCTATACAGCCACCCCAGAGGTTGTGAAAATGCCGTCGATCGGTTTGCTCCTTTTGTTCCGGTGCTGAGTGGCGGCCGTTCGACCGGGGTGTCGTTGGAGGATAGCTTCTTCCATACCAACATCGCGAAGACGTTGGCGAAAGGAAGAGGACTTGGTTGAGCTGATGTCCTCATTGGCGTCGACCCCCAAAATTACTTCACAGCCCTCATCGCGCCATTGGGTGATGGCTCGAAGAAGGTCCACCATAAAGGCCTCCCTTGGTTCACGCTGCCGACCTTGAGAGCGAAAGAAACTCCGGTGTTGTGCCCACACGGTAGACTCGCCAGTCCCCGGAGGGTTAGGCCGGTATGCAGCCACCACAACCAAATCCCTAGAAAACCTACTCCGTGAAGCGTTGGAAGCTTTGCGAACTTGATCGTCTGATGCTGGCATTGCAAACTTCTTGCCTTGGATGCGTACATATGCCCACCTGCCCAATTTAGTTGGGTCCCGACCAAAAGATTTTGCACGGTGGGCAACTGAGTTCAAGATAGTTGCCACACATCCACCGTACTGCGAGCACAAGGCGATGGGACGAGCTCGGTTCTCATTGTACGCAGCGACCGAATAGTATCCCTTAGATGCTACTTGTCGCATCCTATTGTTCCAGTGTTGACCTTCCGGAAGGGAAGGCCAGTGTGTGTTGGTCTCTGCCAACAACGCAATCCCCACTCGTTCTTCTTTCAACCACTGGTTAATCTGTTGTTGTTTCCATCCGGTCGCTGAGGCTGGAATGCCATTGACGTTCTGAAAGACAAGGCAAGTCGACGACTGTAGATGACATCTGTGATCGTCGCCAAAAAAATCACCAGGGGAAAGAGAACTTAGAAATTCCTCAACTGATGCATGGGGAACACCCGTCGAGGGGCCACTCGTTCTTGATCGTCTG